TGGCTTGTGCCCTCTTGCAGTCTGGGAGCCCTCAGGGGATGTCCTTGGGGGAGTGAGCCTAAACCAGCAGTCAGACATCCTTAGCTCTGCTACGGAGGCAGGAGAGGCACCTGCCACCACTGCTGCACTTGCCAGCCATGAGCCCAGCTCAGGGCTTCTGGCTCAGTGGCACTCCCCCTGTGGGAGCACACTGACCACGACGGGGCAGATCCTGCATTGAGTGTCTGCCTCCTGGTGATCAGTGTGCATCATAGCAACTGGTTGTTCCACTGTTTGGCCAATTTGTATATTAGCCTTTTATTATATAGGTCAGAGGGCAAGGGGATGGACATAAACAAAAGTGTGGTGATGGCCAGAGGCGGGGGGGCTGGGTGGAGGAGGGTAAAGGGGAGGAAATGGGAGACATCTATAATAGTGTCAACAGTAGAATAAAAACAACAATTATATACCACATTTATATCATATACCAATGATATACACACCTATTAGGAAAAAAAGGATACATTATGAACTATGTATTTATTACTTGGATAAAATTTAAAAAGAAAGAATTTTGTCCAGAAAGGAGTGTTGTTGAAATGTTATTTTATTTTTTTTACTTTTATAGTAAAGCTAAGAAAGCTCTAGAGCCCCTGTGAGGGCTGGATTATTTTTAACGATGTTTAAATGTTTTGTACTATGAGGTGCAAAATATTTTGCTTATTTCAAGAATCTTTGTGCATTCTTTCTGTAGTAAAGTGAACTTATCAATGTGGTAAGTCTATTTGGGGGGTCTGCTTAAAATGGGGCACACCAGTACTAAATTTGGTTCTAACAATGACTAATTCCACATCAAGTGTGGAGTTAGATGGCTATTGGACGTAACCATTTCTTTTGGTCCCTTTGCTCCCACATCACCTGCTTCAACCAGAGGCGGTGTCTTGACCCTCCATGACCTCTTTGTCTTGGCGACCACGGGGTGTCTACTGCCTGAGGCCATGGCAGTCAGCTGGGCATTGACCTTCCCAAGATGGCGACAACCCTGATGAACACTCATCAGGGGCAGGGTCCCATCTGGTCGGCAGAGACAGGGCAGGGAGGCACACGGGGAGAGCTTTCAAGCAGGCAGTTTGAACCCGACAGAGTCACACCTACAGCTTCCCTCCTCCTCTCCTCTCCTCTCCTCTCCTCACGTGCCAGTGGGCTGATGGCTGAGGGGAGCGGCAGCCACTGGCAAGGCCAGGTGCGGGCTCAAGAGGGTGGGGAGCCTGAGCCACCGGGCCGGGCCGGGCGGGCGGGCACTTCTTTGCAGGGTTTCGAAGGGTGTGGGGATGGAGACGTGCCCCAGTCTCTGCGCTGGGATGGAACTGGAAAGGAGGGGGGCTGCCCCCTCCCCTACTGCTGGGTGGGACATTGCGGAGGAGAGGCCATGGATCCCTAGCCCAGACTCACCCTCCCAGGGGCAGGTCGCGGACTCGGGTGGGCTCAGATGCTGCTGAGGCCCTCGGACCCTTGAGGGTGGGAAGGATCGTCTGGGCTCCCCAGCTGTGAGTCCCTGGGTCAGGTGTCTGAGTGTGGGCGGGCAACAGGTTGCAAGAGTAGACGGAGAAACTGGCTCCAGGCCAGATAGGTGAGGCACGCAAAACTTCTGCCTGGGCAGTGCCAGGGCTGCGGAGTTGTGGCAGATAACAAAGTGCTGGCATCTGAGGCCTCAATGCTGGCATGGGGATCTGAGAACCTGGCAGGGTGCAGGACACATCTCTCCTGCCTCTGCCTGGCACAGGCTCAGCTGTGCCACCAGTGGGGGGAGGGTAGGGGCCGGCCCAGCGTGAGCCACTCGCTGCTGCCTGCCGCAGTTCACCAGTCCCCTATAGGCTGGGGGGAGGCAACCAGTCAGTCCTTTGGTTGTCCTGGTCATGTAGGACACTGCCTTTTTATATAGATAGACTAGGGGCCTGGTGCACGAAATTAGTGTGCTGGGTGTGTGTGTAGGCCTGGCCGGCGATCAGGGCCAATCTGTGGAGTGACCGGCGGGGCGATCAGGAGGGGCCCCTGCTGT